AGGAGGAGGAGGAGGAGGAGGAGGACGCGACGACGGCGGCGACGGCTTGCGAGGACCCGAACGTGAGAGCGACCTCTGGATCAATGCGCGCTTTTACTTTCGGCACGGCACCGTGCGATTGTTGCACCCATCGAAATACCACAAGCTCGATCGAGGGTGTGGCGTCGACGCCCGCTCTTGCCGCCGCCATGAACACGTTCCTCGGCGACCTCCGCGGAAACTCGAGCAACAACACGACGCTGACGATCAAGTCGAGCCCGCCGAAGACCGCCGCCGTGGCGACGCGCCTCGGCGTGCGCACGGGCGTGCTGACGAAGCGCAACGAGCAGCAGGTCTGGCAGCGGCGCTACTGCGCCCTCGTGCCCCAGACCTTACTGTACTACTACGACGGCGAGCACAGCGAGTCGGCGCGGGGCATCATCGACCTCGAGTACTACACCGAGGTCGAAGTCGTCGCGCGGAACACGATTCGCCTGAGCACGCCGCCGGACATCCCGCTGCGGTCGTTCTTCTTCAAGGCCGACGACGAGGACCAGTGCGCGGCCTGGGCCGCGGCGCTGACGCGGGAGCGCTACTTCGTCGTCGCCGACGAGCGCGACGCCTACCAGCGGCTCCAGGCGGAGTTCCGGACCGCGTGAACATCAAACCTTCGAGCTGACTTCAATGTGCGTGTATGAGACCGCTTTGACGCGAGATCTTCGGCTGTGCTTCGAGAACTCGACAAAAGCGATCGATTCGTCCCAAAATCAGCCGAATCGACTTCGATGTGGCCGAGCTGGAGCATTCTGAAGTTCGGCCCCGACGTCCCGGCTCATCGGTCGATTCCCACGCAGGTTCCAGAAGCAGAGCTCGGAGTCCGCGGAGTCGTGCGACCGGCTCCGCGAGGAGACGGCGCAGCGGCGGCGCGCCTGCGAGGCCGCGGCCCTGCGGCTCGGCGACGCCCTCGCGCAGCTCCGCCAGCAGGCCGTGTCCCTCGGGCTCTCGGAGTCGTCGGCCGCGAGTTTGCGGGAGCCGCGCGACGCGGTCCGCGAGGTCGCGCACCGGCTGCACTACCACATGCGGCGCGCGGCGCACCTCGGCGACGCCGTCGCCGGCGCGGCGGACCAGGAGACGAGCGGCGGCGGCGCCGGGCCCTCGGACGAGGAGCGGCTCCGGACGCTCGACGATCTACGGGAGCGCGTCGCCGCGGCGAAGAGAGCGCGGCAGCGCGAGGAGACGGCGCGCCTCGCGAGCGAGGGCACGCGGGCGGACAAGGCCGCGGCCCTCGACGACGCCCAGCGGCGCGTGGGCGACGAGGCGAAGAGCCGCGTCGCCGCGGAAACGAAGGCCGCGGAGCTCGCGGACCAGAAGAGAATTTTGGTCCGCGAGGTCAAGCAGACGCGGAAGCGCGCGGCCGACGCCAAGGCGCTCGGCGCGGAGCTCGAGGCGCGCAAGGAGCTCGGGACGTTGGGCCTGGGCTTGGACGATTTGGAGGTCGACGAGGAGACGCACCGGGAATTGGCGCTGAAGCGCGCGGGCCTCGCGCGCGACACGTCGTCGGACGGCGGCGGCAGCGACTCGTGCAGCCTCGACGGCGACCTCGCGGCCCACGCGCGGAAGAACTCGAGCGACCGGCTCGACGATTTGCTCCGCCGCGCGACGTCGCAGGCGCGCGACGCGGAGCGGCCCAAGCCGCCGCCGCCGCGGCCGCCCGCGGGCGCGAGCCCCTTCGCCAAGGTCTGCCGCCGGTGCGGCGGCACCGTCGAGGGGCCCCGCAACTCGACGTGCAAGTGCGCCGCGCCCCAGATCGACTAGGCGCCGCGCGCGCGCGCGCGCTTTTTTCTAACGCGAAGCCGCCGGCGACCGCGCCCCGGGGGATCCGCTCTGGTTTTTTTATAAGGGAGCCGGCGCGGCGCGCCTCACTTGTCGGCCTTTTGTCTCTGCGCCATCTTCTTGAGGGAGCCCTGCATGACCTTGCGGATGCGCGCGAGCGAGTCCGTGTTGCCGTCGAGGGAGACGCAGTCGTCGACGCCGTAGGGCGCGTCGACGCGCACCTGGTCGAGGACGTTGATGGAGTCGTCGACCCACGAGCAGTCCATCGTCTTCGATAAAGCGTCGAACATGGCCTGGCCCTCCGGCGTCGCGTTGGGGTTCAGCTGGGCCATGGCCGTCTCCATGGCCTCGAAGGCCTCGGCCTCGCGCTTCGCGCAGAGCTTGAGGTCCACGGCGGGCAGCGGCTGCACGAGCGCCTCCGCGTCCCGCGGCGACGCGTCGGCCACGACCTTCACGCCCGCGACGGCGTGCGCGGGCACGAGGCGCACGTCGCGCGCCTCGCGGCGGCCGTTGGCCGCGGCGCTGAAGAGGACCACGGTCTGGGTGACGGGGTCCACGGTGTAGACGGCGCCGGACACCGTCGGCGCGCCGCCGCCGTCGCCCTTCAGCGTCAGCTCGACGGTCATGCCCACGACGACCTGCGACAGCTTCACGTCCTTGCCGGCGAGCGCCATGTCGGCAGCGGCGCGCCGGACGAGGCTTTCGGAGGGCGGTCGGCGGGTGAGGCGCGTCGACGGCGGTGCTGCGCCGAGCGCGTAAGCCGTGTGCTCGCCGAGGCTCCAGGGGCCG